TCCCCTCTGTCAGAGGCGTCAGGCCTGGGCAAGGGGCCGATCCTGCGATTGGAGGGTGATGGGAGTCAACGCCTGAGGGCTTCCAGTATGTGAGAGGGGGCAGGCTGGGCTGAGGGACACTCCCCCCCACCCCACACACACCCAGTGCACGAATTTCGTGCACCGGGCCCCCTAGTATATTATATATTTGTTTATTTGTCTTAGTAGACTGGCAAACTATGAAAGCAGGAATTTGTTTTAATCGAGCACTTAGAACAATGTCTGGCAAATAGGCAGCTGATAGATACTATTCAATAAGTGACTGAAGAAAATAAGGCTGACATACCATAAACAGTGGTGGGTCCCAAAACTAGTCCTGATATAGCAGGCAATACCTACTTTAAAAAGGAAATTCAAGGCAAAAAAAAAAACACGTTATTTAAACATATGTTTATGTAATATGTATATTAATGGGACTTCAAAATAGTAATTAAAAACATCTTTATACACATACTTATCAAGTAAATATTGATTCACTATTAGAACAGGGGTCCTCAAACTTTTTAAACAGGGGGCCAGTTCACTGTCCCTCAGACCGTTGGAGGGCTGGACTATAGTTTAAAAAAACACTATGAACAAATTCCTATGCACACGGCATATATCTTATTTTGAAGTACAGAAACAAAATGGGAACAAATACAATATTTGTATTTGCATGTGGCGTGCGGGCCGTAGTTTGAGGACCCCTGATCTAGAAAGTAAAAACTAATCATTACATTTACATTTACACTGCATTTGTATTTAATAATTAATTTTTAGTATTTAAGTAAACAAGAAGGAAAAGTACACTTAAAAGAAAAAAATACTATAGCACAAAACATTAAAAAATTTACTTTGTATTCCCCCTCATGCACACACATTTTATTCACCATAAAAAGAAAAACAAATGATCATCTAATTTGCAAAGTGCTACTACATTCAGTTGTACTATAAAAATGGCCTAAATTAGTTTCGGAGAACAGTGACATCTGGTTGTATGTACACACCATTGTATATAGTCTTGCTCCAGGTAGTAAAATGGTAACACACTGATATTCTAAAGTAAGCAAGCGAAGGAGTTTGGGAATCACCATAAAATGCGCAACAATGTACTTTCCAGTCTAGATAGATGACTCTTGGAAAGGCCCAGCTTTTCTCTCCATCTCTAACCTCATCCATATATTATTTGTGCCTTTGGAATTACTTTTAAAGAGAGGAAAAGCGAAAGGTGATATTAAGAATTTAGGCCACACTCTTGGAAAAAGTACAAAAAATAACTACCATTTTCAAATTACCACACTTGTATCCTATAAATTGACATTCCATTTATTATGGTTAAAAGTAAGATAATAATTTCAACATCTGTTACTTTTACTTTTGCACTTTTTCTTTCCATTACTCTTAATACAGGAAATAGAAACAACCCAAAACACAAAAATAAAAGAATGCTCTAACAGTAGCTTTCAAACTGTGCTATCCCAGATTATGCAAGGATTTTCAATTAGAATTACTTGAAAAAAATAATGGAATTGAGACTGTATGTTTCTCTTCCTGAAATAAGACAAGTTAGCACTGGGCCAGGTGTTGTTTCTTAACCATGACTTCAGGATGGGAGGAGGTGGTTAAAAGAGGTGAAGCTAGACAACTCAAACCAAAAAAAGATCAGAAGCTCACAGTTATAATCTGACAATGAGACACAAATTTTAATAATTACTGCCCCCTTTGCTCTCAAGTCCTGTATTATTTAGTGAGTTTCATCTAGATAAACACATTTAGATGGTACTGTGGATAGGGTGAGGAGTGAATTTCCACAGCTCTACACCCTCAGCAGAGAAGGTTCTGCTTACCTGCTTCTGAGAACTGGTTCAATAGCATGTTAGCATTTAAGGAGTAAACCAAAGGGTCCACTTCATAACTCTTACACCAACAAAGAAAAAAGCTGCCCTTATTTAAGTGAAAATTCAAGATCACTAGCATAGTCTGTGTCAGGGCACATATGAACTACACAAGTCTCATGCTTTTGACCCTCAGTTCCTTAAGTCCCAAGACTGGAATGAAACCAGATAAATGCCTGAGGAACCACTTCACACCCCAAACACGTGCAAACTTTGTTCAACAGAACACTTTACTGCCAAAATGGAGTTGGCAGAAATTTGGAGCCAAGGCCCCCAGGCTGCATGATCTGCTGGCACCAGAAAGCTTAAAAATCTTAACATAATACTGCTCAGTTTGAGTTCCACCAATTTGCTTGAGACGCCTTCCCCAAATTTGACTTGAGAAAGATGAAAGCTGCCATCAAGAAAGACTTTATTAAGACTTATCCTCTATCTAAAAATAATTTGATTTCCCACTCCTGATGGTCATACCTCTATATTCCTTGATGGTTATGTTTATGCTATAAATCTAATGCAGTCTATTTTATGATGCGTGTAAATTCAATTTTGTTTAGTACAGGGAGAACTAAATTAGTTATGACAAAGTTTTACTTAGAAAACATTTGTACCAAATAACCCCCATATATCACAATTTATTACCCTCAAAAGCGTGAGAAATTAAAATATAGAATATCTGTAAATTGCTATTATTTTGCATTTGATTTAGCTTGTTCTCTCATTTTTCTGAATTTGAGTAATCATTTATTTGTATACTAGAGGCCCGGTGCATGAAATTCATGCACTGAGGGGCGGGTGTCCCTCAGCCCAGCCTGCACCCTCTTCAATCCGGGACCCCTCGGGGGATGTCCGACTGCCGGTTTAGGCCCAGTCACTGTGGGAACGGGCCTAAACTGGCAGTCGGACATCCCTCTCACAATCCGGGATTGCTGGCTCCCAACCGCTCGCCTACCTGCCTGGCTGATTGCTCCTAACCGCTTCTGCCTGCCAGCCTGATTGCCCCTTAACCACTCCCCTGCCAGCCTGATCGATGCCTAACTGCTCCCCTGCTGGCCTGGTCCCCCCAAACTCCCCTCCCCTGCTGACCCGGTCACCCCCAACTGCCCTCCCCTGCCAGCCCGGTCACCCTTAACTGCCCTCACCTGCCAGCCATCTTGTGGTGGCCTTCTTGTGTGAGGGTGTGACAGTCAATTAGCATATTACCTCTTTATTATATAGGATGAACTATTTAGAAAGTGAGGAAAGAAACCAAGAGGAGTTCTTCTTTTTCAAAACATTCAACAGATTAGCCTGGCCAGTGTGGATCAGTGGTAGAATGTTGACCCAGGAACCAAGGGGTCACTGGTTTGATTCCTGGTCAGGACACATGCCAGGGTTTCAGACTCGATCTCCAGTAAGGGGTGTGTAGGAGCAGCCAATCTTTCATGGGTGTTTCTATCTCTTTACCCTCTCCCTTCCTCTCTCTCTCTAAAAATCAATAAAGGAAAAACAATTTTTTAAAAATATATTTTGTTGATTTTTTTACAGAGAATAAGGGAGAGGGATAGAGAGTTAGAAACATCAATGAGAGAGAAACATTGATCAGCTGCCTCCTGCACACCTTCTACTGGGGATGTGCCCGCAACCAAGGTACATGCCCTTGACTGGAATCGAACCCGGGACCCTTCACCGCAAGCTGATGCTCTATCCACTGGGCTAAACTGGTCAGGGCGGAAAAACAATTTTTTAAAAAAGATTCAACAGTTAGGTCCTATTTGGGATCTTCATAAGCTTAATGAAATTTAATGAGGAAAACTGCACCTAAATTTAAAATTGTAGTTAGAATACCAGCAACTATACAACTAGTAATTTTAAAGTTGTAAATGCTTGCCCTGGTCGGTTTTGCTCAGTGAATAGAGTGTTGGCCTGGGGACTGAAGGGCCAGAGTTCGATTCTGGTCAAGGGCACACGCCGGGTTTGCAGGGTTGACCCTCAGTAGGGGGCGTGCAGGAGGCAGCTGGTCAATGATTGTCTCTCATCATTGATGTCTCAATCTCTCCCTCTCCCTTCCTCTCTGAAATCAATAAAAATATTATTTTTTAAAATGTTGTAAATGCTTGATAAATATGCAGTATTGAGAAACTATACCTTGCTTTGGAAGGTTAGCTTGTTCTATTTCCATAAGAGATCAAATTTACAGTAAAGAAGCTTGCTCCTCATATAACTAAAAAAGGTGGTGGTGGGGAGCTTATTGAGGTGAAACCTTCTAATCTTTTCCCTCAGTACCTCCATGTATTTTAATAATTTCTCTGACTTTCTATTTTTTCCTCTTCTAGAACCTCCTGGACAAAACACTCTTTAGGATATCAAGTTGCAGAAGACTGCAGTTCCAAAGATATTTATATAGAAGTGCTGCCACCTAAAGATGAGGTGAATAAAGAAGCAATTCAAAGGAAATGACCCATCATTCTTAAACCTGTCTCAAACATTTTCTCACCTCTAACTAGCCATTGATAAACATTATGCTGTTAGTATGGGAGCTGAACTGTTTCACAATAACTTACTGCTGAGCTGCCATTTTCTATGGCAGAAAATTTCAAGCTCAAAATTCAAATCTTTTAGAGTCTTCTATGGCTTGGGGTCTCCAAGAATATCTCCCGAAGTTATTTCTTTCAGACATTAGACACTGTCTACCATACATGGTGTGTGTGTGTGGGGGGGGGAGGGGGTAGGAATGAAAAGATACCTGGAAGTAAACATTTGAGGGATTTCTGATTTAGTGGATAAAGTGAGGGATAACATATCTATGATATTTCCCTCTATCACTGACAGACTTCTTGCAACGTGAACTAATACTTATTTTTTGTAACTCAATTTTCTCTATAAAATGTGGTTAATTTCACCTTGCTCCTACTTACCTCGCAGGATAATTAGATAAGCTTATTGGAAAAGTCAGCTTATTGACTTCTCTGAAATTAAAATGATAAAGATGGTGAAAGCAGTTTTCTTTTTGTTTTGTAGCTAATCATTTTTAACAGATCCACGTTCTATGCACGCAGTGTTGCAGAATGAAGCTGTTGACAGCATACGAAGCCAGGAAAAAAGTTGCCGTGCACCACAAATCTTGTTAAACTTGTTAAGATTTCCAGGCAACTCTTAAGAGGACATTTTATAGTTGTGCATTTCAATCTCTGCATCGCAATTTGTGAAAATTAACTCGCCCCTTTTGCTTTCTCCCTCTCGGCCCAAGGACGCATACATAATATTTATCAGGGTTTTGTCCTTAGTCACAGTCCCTCCAAGGGGCCCAGTTTCACCTACACTGCGTGGGAGGCCGGGCAGCAAACCCCACACTTCCTGTCAAGGATTCCCGGGGCTGCAGCCCGAACGCGGTCGACCCACCTTCCTCTACGCTAATTCTGCCCTTCCAGCCCCGCCCGACCGGCGTCTGAAGGCCAAGGTGAGACCCTCCCGGGAGATAAGAGGCCCTTTGCCTCCAGAGAAATGAGGGCGGGACGAGGGCCGGAGGGGGGCGGAGGGAGGGTGACGCGCTGGTAGCTGCACCAACTATGACTCTGAGGGCCCTAAACTGGAGCTGACGCAGGCCCTGCAGGGCCCCGTTCCCGCTTGAGCCCGGCTTCGGCCTTCAAATCCCAAGAAGGGGTAAGTCCTCCAGAGGCCGCTGCCGGCGGCGGACGGAGG